TACATGAACACAATGAAATTAATTAATAATAGCAATGATAAAACATTCAGACTAATAGGAGGTTTCTAGATCAACTTTAAGTTTGCTTTAAAGCTACTGACACGTGTTTTCTCACATCAGGTGTCCAATAAAAGTCGACTCAAGTTACAATTCTCTAATGCGAGGAAGGTTTTGGTCGAGCAATTTTATTTTGGGGAAATACAGCTTTGTGTCTCCTCCTGTTACTAACAAACCTCAAAGGTTGTGACTTGCTGGTCGTATGGACACATAAGACCAGATCTGTAAACCTCCACCAACCAATCTGCTCTTCTATTCCTGAGTCATTGGGTTGAATAATGGCCAGAAGTGTTTTTGCAGGACATTTAAATGGCAGTGAAGGTGACGTTACAAATATCAGTATTTAATCGCTTTATCCTATTAAGACATTTATATGAAAATGTACCATAATAAGTGCATTCATTTAAGAGTTATGGGCAAAAATTTATGTTGTGGCATCAGAGCAAGTTTGATACGAAAATCTTATCGATTGATGCAGTTTATTCAAATGAACGTTTGTGCCAAATCTTAAGAAAATCCTTCAAGGTGTTCGGTACACCAGAATGGGAGACAAATGGAAAGACATTTAATTAAAATATAATGTCTCTGGTTGTGGCTAACAGTCTGGGAGGTATAAAAAGTCAGTTAAAGAAGAAATGATCGTGTCCATGAACCCTTTCTACTGTGACACTGAAACTAGCTACCTTCACTCAAGACAAACCAAACGTAGACACTCCTCTCAACCTGCTTTTGAAAGGATGTGTCACAGTGGCCTACAGCCTGTTTCTTACCGAGCATTAATCAGGTACTCAGCCAGGCTGATACTGGCGTGGGAGCCAGTGATGGTGACCTGTCTGTCAGTTGAGCCCTCCACAGGATTGGCAATCTTGATCTGAGCACCTGACATCTGACGGATCTCATTGATCTTTGCACCCTGGCGACCAATGATGCAACCAATGAGCTGAAACAGGAAGAAACCGTGAGAACACATCAACACCTTCAATTCCAATAAAAAACAGGGTAACAGGCTATTTACAATAAAGGAATTTTGTTACCCTGTAAAAAGCAAAAGGAGGTAAATGCACTTACATCATTTGGAATGGTCAGCTCATGAGAGCCAGTTTGTGCAGAGGCATCCATCCCAGCTAAAGAAATGCAAAGAAACCCATGAGATTGTTACCAAACAGATTATTACAGACTTAATGCAATCAAACTCCCTATTTCAATCTATCCACCTACCTTGGAAGCTCTGGTTGCCGTGTGCAATGGGGAAAGGGCTCTGCTGCATGGCCAGCTGGTGAAGTTTGGTGAGCTGTTAAAACAACGGAGGAAACGATGCAGAGAGCAAACAAACAGACAAAAACCACGAGTGAGGAAAACTTTTAAGACAGCAAAGCTGAAATTTTGCAATTATTTCCCTTTTGTAAAGAGGTTAAAGTGAGAATGAGAGGAAAACATGGAATGAAGCATGGGACCCATGATTTAGTCTCAAGTTTGAAAAATGTTGATGTTAGAATTTTACTCTACAATCTTATGGTTAATAAATGAATGTGACTATCAAGCAACGGTGGTTGGAAAAAAATGGGTCAGAGGGATGGAATAAGAAGGTGGCATGGCTTCCCAGGACCGAAGTTGCAAATATATTGGATCACTTACAGAGGGCCCTTCACTTACATCAGGCTGTGAAATGGCGTGCTGCCCTTGGACAGCGTATGCCTGCAAGGAGAGAACAGCACTTAGAGGGTGTGGCAGTGTCACACACACTGAACTCAAAAATCCATCAGTTCACTGTCCTTGGTGAGCGGCAAAAACAAAACCAGGCATGCTATAAACAGCAGACCAGCTACTGGAACAATGGCCTGTGTATAATTTAACTCGTTTTGACCAGAACTGCTTCAGGACAAAGTGGGAACGCCTTTCAAGACAAGCTGGATACTGTCAAGGCAAATACTACCATTGACCGATCTATATAAAAGAAAAAAATTGCTTTCACTGTTTACCTGACCACCTGCAAAGATGACAGGAGAGCCTGAGGGTTTGGGTCTGTACGGGATGGTTACTCCCTTAGGTGGAGACTGAAAAAAGGAAACATTTACAATTAAATATTTAAGCAGCATTAGCAGGAACATAGAAAATAATAAAATAATCATTAGTATCATAACATCGATTACAAATTTCCAGAGGTGTGAGGGCACAATAAACAGTGTCTGTACCTCGAGCATGACAACACAGATCTGCTTGACACACTCGATAATGGACTGTGGGGTCCCTGCAACGGTGATGGCACGCTCTGTTGAGTTGGGCAACATGTCCCCTGCTACTTGTACCTGAGCTCCTGCTGACTGAGGACACAAACATTAACATTGAGAGTTAGGACACATCAGGGAAAACAAAGTCAAAATGTTACAAAAACTAAAACCAGGGGACAAACCTCTCTGATTTCCTTGATCTTGCAGCCACCTTTGCCAATGAGCGAGCCACACTGGCTGGCAGGCACAACAAGGCGCATGGTGACTGGCGGTTTGCTGGTGGCCGTACTGTTAGTCATTGAGGTGCTGATGTCCTACACACAAGAAACACGACCGGAGAACAGTGAAAATTAGAATCTTTCAAATCTGTTGCTGTATTACGTTTGATGCAAGATTTGGTGAACAGCTCTTACCTCCTCCAGCTTCTCAATGATCATGGAGAAGGCTTTGAAAATGGAGGTGGTGGGTCCTGCAAGGGTTATGATCCTCTCTGGACAGTTTCCCTCCGAGATGTTGATGCGAGCACCACTCTGCAGAACAAAACATGGAGTTTTTCAATCAGTCTCAGTGTGATAATGTCATATCACGCATATGAATCAGTGTCACTGCAATTATGGGGAAAAACGTACCTCCTCTCTCATCTTCTTAACCGATTCTCCTTTCTGAGAAGAAAGCACAGGTTCACAATATTTACAAAACACACCAAAGGACAACAAACAGATGACTTCATTCTGACATTAACACAAACATACCTTGCCGATGATGCTTCCAACCTCCTGCAGATGAGGATAAAAAAGGCATATTAAAGCAAGGTGTGTATTCTTAATGGTTATACTGGGGGATGAATGCTTAAAATCAGACATGGCATGCAGTCTCACTCACCTTCCCATGCATGAGTAGCCTGATGGTTAAGGTGACATTAAGTCCTCCTTCAACCAGACTTGAGTCCATTGCTGCAGCTAATTCCAGAAACTAAACTGGCCGACGAAGTGAGTGAGTCTTTGGTCACAGGCTTAAAGTCTGAAACAGAGGAAAACGTGACAATCAGGGACAAACAGCTGGAATCTGTGAGGACAGAGTTTACTAGAGGAGCTGCCGCCAGTGCAGATGAGTGAGGTGATGCAGACTGTCCACATCTTGAAGCCTCGAAGTGCAGTTTAATAACGTGACTTGTGACTTTGAAAGAATGAGACGCTTCAGTCCAGTAATTCACGTTAGACTGGCCCGAGTCCACTGATTCACGTTAGCACAATGACCCACTGTCTCTCTACGGGGATGCCTAATTCCTGGTATTTAACAGCTATGGCGAAACAGCTTGTCATTTATTTAATGGCCTAGAATCAAGGTGGGGAAACTTTTTATTTACACCCAAGTCGAGTGTGTGTGTACGTTAGCGAGGAAAGGCTGAAAAAAGCTAATGCTAACATCGCAAATCCTGTCTATTTTGGTGAGAGCAACACAGTCACGCAAGGCTAAGTTAGCTTAGTTAGCACAACCACATTTCTTATTTACTTCTCCCTTGTGGTGTTTGTCGGAACAATTTGTAAATGACGGTTTAGAACCCGACGCCGGAACGGAACTCAGAGGGGAGCCGCGAAGCTGAAAACATTTCGCGTGTTTTTTTCCATTCGAGCTCGCTAGCGTTAGCATCCTACGCTCCAGCGAATAGTCGGGTCCCGCGGCCTCCGGAGCGCGCCGAGTAGTTCCTGCCCTTCATCCCGAAAGGTGCAGAAAAACAGGACGAAAGCTAAATGTGTGGAGCTCTTACCCGAACCGTCCCTTGAAGAGTGTTCAGGGGGTGGGTAGGGTGGCAAGGGTGGAAGGGGAGAGGTTCGGGAGGGAGTTTTAAAAGGATCCGGGGAAGAGGGAAGCGACACCGCTGCTCGATCGGACTCTTCTCTCCTGCTTAGCACAAAAGACCAAATGAGTTCAACTTTGACCTCTGCTGCCCCGCCCCTCTACACACAGCCCCGCCCACCACTGGAAATAAATACAACATGCATTTATTCAAAATAAAGGTCACGATATTTCGTATTTACTGTATTTATTTAATTTGAAGGGGAACTGTAGAAGCCTATTTCCACCACTGTGGTGAAAAATTACAGATCCTGTGAGTCGGTATCATGAAAAACAAAATAATGAC